CGTCCCTGCCGGCAGCTGTGGCCGGGCTGGCACTCCGCAGCGGGCAGGTCTGGCAGCTCCCGGTCACCGGGGCCTCCCCGGGGGGGTTCCCAGCGAGCCGTCCGTGGGGCAAGGGCCCGTCCCGACCGGCAGTGTCCCAGAGTGAACGCGGCTGCCTGGCCTCGCCCGCAGCCCACACCACGTACTCACTTTCTCTGTCAAAACTGGGGCACTGTGGAAAATGATGCCTTTCTTTTCGTCCTGGAAAGAAGCATCACTGCTGAGAAAGAGCCCCGCTCGTCGCGACTCCACACAATCCAGACGACGTGGCGACCGCTGGCAGGGAGGGGAGCAGCGAAGGCCGTGGGCAGGGCCAGCCGGGGGTCGCCGCAGCCGCTGGGCCGGGTTCACCCGGCTGGGGAGTGGCCCCACGGGCAGCGGGCCCTTGGTGGCCTGCCCTGTGCCCCGCTGTCTCTGGGGCATCTCAGCGGGGCTGTCCGTGTGTGCACAGACAACGAAGCTGCATCTCCAGAATAAGTCAGCGCGGAGAGGAGGGCGAGATGCAAGACCTGCCCCTGAGCGCAGGTGCAAACCTCCCGTGGGGGGACGTAGATGAGGCGCCAGAGCCAAGGGCTTCTGTGTGGCGCTTCCATGTAGCCCATGAACTCCTTGGCGCTCGGGGAAGGGCCCACACTCGAGCCACGGATGCCGCGCCACGGACGCCGAGCCCACTTACCCACATGTAATAAATCGCCCGCGTCTTACTGTTGCTGACCAGCTCTTTGTTGTTTGTCGGGTTAAAAATGAGGTGGTTCTGAAACAGTGGGGAGCGGGTGTGAAGGCGGGGCTCGCCCACTGGATGACTTTCCAGCTGACGCCGCCTCCTGTACTCGGCACCTGCGCGCCCTGGGGGCTGAAACCCCAGCGTGCGGCCCCCCAGGCTCAGCCGAGTGGGTCCGAGGGCTGAGCCAGCGCTGGGCGTCGCCCATCCACCACAGAGCAGAGCCCATGGTGACGCGAGCCGCAGGGGCTGGGGAGCTGGTCGCAGGGCAGGCAGGGGGCGCAGGGCAGGCCCTGGCGGGGCTGTAGGCAGTGGCCGGCATGGCATCTCAGCCACACCCTCCCAGGGAAACCCCAGGGGGCCATCCGCCCAGAGCCAGGCCACAGCCCGGGTGAGAGAAGGGGAGAAGGTGCCGTGTGGCAGGGCGGTTCTCCCCGACGTGGCGGGGCCCTTGGCCGAGCCGGACGCCCGGACACCCCCTCTGGGACGCCCTGGGCCGAGCCACCACGTCCACGCTCATGCTGCCAAGTGTCAGGAGCACCCGCTGGGCTAGCCCACACCCTGCGGCCCAGAAACCCGGAGGGGAGGGGCGGGGCTCCCGCTTGGGGGGGCTGCCCAGACTACTGCAGGCCACTTAGCAAGGGCTGAAAGACTGGAACCCCGAAAAGCAGGAAGCTCTGCGCCCGGCCCCTCCCCCACGGGCTAGGGCCCAGCGGCCCCGCAGCGTCGGCAGCTGCACCTGCGGGCCGTACTCCTCCGGCAGATCCAGCGTGCAGGACGGCGTCTCCGCAGCCAGCGTCCACTTCCAGATGCTCAGCCTCTGTGAGGTGCAGTGGGCAGTGAGGCCCCGGCGGTCACGGCAGGGCGCCCTGATCGCCCAGGGCCCACACCTGGCTAGCGGCGTCCGAGAGGGTGGCCAGGTGCTTGGCGTCGTGTGAGATGGCGATGGCCCTGATGCCCTGGTCCTCGGGGCAGCTGTCAAACACTGTGTGCACCGGGATGCTGCAGCGGATGACAGCGTGAGGAGGGGACCGCACGGGTCCAGATTCCCGGGCGAGGCGGCTGCGCTCGCCACAGGCGCTGCCCCGCAGAGGGAGTCCACGCGGCCTCCCTGGACTCACGGTGTCCTTTGGGATTTGTCCGCCCGAGAGTGCCCGGAACGGTAAAATCTATTCGTGGTTTTCGGGAAGAGGTTTGGGGGCTCTGGGGAAAGGGAGGGCTTGGAAGCGGAGAGGACCCTCGGGGTCTGCTG